AATACCCACCCCGCGCTCCAAACCACAGCGCGCTCCCACAAACCACCCCGCACTCCCACAAACCACTGCGCGCTCACAGACTGTGACTAATACCCACCCCGCGCTCCCACAATCCACCCCGCGCTCCCACATACCACCGCGTGCTCCCACAAACCATCGAGCGCTCCCACATACCACAGCGCGCTCACACAAACCACAGCGCGCTCCCAGACTGTGACTAATACCCACCCCACGCTCCCACAAACCACCGCGCGCTCACACAAACCACCGCGCACTCCCACAAACCACAGCGCGCTCCCAGACTGTGACTAATACCCACCCCGCGCTCCCACAAACCACCCCATGCTCCCACAAACCACCCCGCACTCCCACAAACCACAGCGCGCTCCCAGACTGTGACTAATACCCACCCCGAGCTCCCACAAACCACCGCTCGCTCCCACAAACCACAGCGCGCTTCCAAACTGTGACTAATACCCACCCAGCTCCCACAAACCACCCGCGCTCCCACAATCCACTCTGCACTCCCACAAACCACTGCGGCGCTCCCACAAACCACCGCAGCTCCCAGACTGTGACTAATACCCACCCAGCGCTCCCACAATCCACCCAGCGCTCCCACAAACCACCCGTGCTCCCACAAACCACCGCGCTCCCACAACCACCGGCGGCTCCCAGACTGTGACTAATACCCACAGCGCGCTCCCACAAACCACCTCACGCTCCCAGACTGTGACTAATACCCACCCAGCGCTCCCACAAACCACCTCGCGCTCCCACAAACCACCTCGCACTCCCACAAACCACCCTGCGCTCCCAGACTGTGACTAATACCCACCCCGCGCTCCCACAAACCACCGCACGTTCCCACAAACCACCGCGTGCTCCCAGACTGTGACTAATACCCACCGCGCACTCCCACAAACCACCCCGCGCTCCTAAAAACCACAGCGTGCTCCTACAAACCACTGCACGCTCCCAGACTGTGACTAATACCCACCCCACGCTCCCACAAACCACCCCACGCTCCCACAAACCACCGTGCGGCCCAGACTGTGACTAATACCCACCGTGCGCTCTCAGACTGTGACTAATACCCACCGTGCCCTCCCAGACTGTGACTAATACCCACCGTGCCCTCCCAGGCTGTGACTTATACCCACTGTGCGCTCACAGACTGTGACTAATACCCACCACGCACTCTCAGACTGTGACTAATACCCACCACACGCTCCCAGACTGTGACTAATACCCACCACGCCCTCCCAGACTGTGACTAATACCCACCACGCTCTCCCAGACTGTGACTAATACCCACTGCGCGCTCTCAGACTGTGACTAATACCCACCACGCGCTCCCAGACTGTGACTAATACCCACCGCGCCCTCCCAGACTGTGACTAATACCCACCGCGCGCTCACAGACTGTGACTAATACTCACTGCGTGCTCCCAGACTGTGACTAATAACCACCGCGCGCTCCCAGACTGTGACTAATACCCACCACGCGCTCCCAGACTATGACTAATACCCACCGCACCCTCCCAGACTGTGACTAATACCCACCGCGCGCTCCCAGACTGTGACTAATACCCACCGCGCGCTCTCAGACTGTGACTAATACCCACCGAGAAATGGGATTATTTAAAAGTTGCATTGCTGAAGGCAACAGAAAGTTGCATTAGGCTTGTCAGTAAAAGCTAAAAATTCAAGAAACCCAGAGTGAGGAAGACAGAATGATCTATAAGATTAGGCAGAAAGAGGCTAAGCAAGTTATAAGAGCTTCCAAATCACACACAGAAGAGAAAATAGCACAGTCAGTAAAAAAAGGGGATAAAACATTTTTTAGATACATAAATGAGAAAAGAAAAGTAAAACAAGGATTAGTTAGATTAAAAACAAAAGAAGGAAGGTATGTAGAAGAGGATAAAGGTCTAGCTGGCTGCCTCAATGAATATTTTTGTTCTGTATTTACAGATGAAAATGAAGGAAAGGGACCTCAGTTGAGAAAAAGGATAAATTAGTCATTTATTACACGTGAGTTTACAGAGGAAGAGGTTCTATTTCAACTGTCAAAAGTAAAGACAAATAAGTCAATGGGACCTGATGGAATACACCCAAAGCTATTAAAAGAGCTTAGTGGTGTACTAACAAAACCATTAACAGATTTATTTAACCAATCATTGTTAACAGGAGTAGTCCCAGAAGATTGGAAGTTAGCAAATGTTGTGCCCATTTACAAGAAAGGTAATAGGGAGGAGTCGGGCAACTATAGGCCAGTAAGCCTTACTTCAGTAGTGGGGAAAGTGATGGAAACCATGTTAAAGGATAGGATTTTATTAAAGGACACGGAGGCTCATATTATGCTTATCTCTTTCTTTATTATACCTCAGCAGCAAAGAGAAGGTATAAACATTCATAGAAAAAAAAGTTTTAACAGGTTCTCCAAGGGTTAACCCAACATCATACCCTTAACCAATAGGAACAGTCCTTCTATCTATAACCACCCATGTGACCTTTCCTCTCCCTCTTTCTTTGCTGCTGCCTCAGCTAAGTACCATCTCATTTTAGCTCTCCTCAGAGCAACCTATTTAGCTGGTTAAATCATATTTGTTTTTTTTATGTCATGTTTCCTCTGTTTATTTGCAGGTATTCATTGATGTTATTTGTGTAATCCCCCTGCTTTATCGACTGGCGCCTATCTGCCCGTGGTGCAGGTAGCCGGCTTCTCTGGGGTTTCCCCCTCCCCTCCGGCGGTTAACCCCCCTTCCTCACCTCCCTGGGTAGTTTATTACCCGCCCCACTTGTCTTCTCTGCGAGTCGCGGCGGCCGTTCACGGCGCGAGCGCTCCGAATCCAGAGACCGCTTGCGCATGCGCAGTAATGGCCGCACGGCTCGGCGGCCATTTGCCAGCAGCCGGTCTGGTCTGTTTGCCGCGCTTTTTTCTCCGCCCGCCCCCTGTACCTGAGGGCGGGCATTCACCCATTGGCTGACAGCTTACCAGTGCTCCCTGGCGGCCATTCCGGAGGGAACACTCGGTAAGCTGACAGCCTTTGTGTGTGCCTGATTCCCCCTTTTGCATAATTAGCAGTGCTCACTGCCCAGTTAATACTACTGTTTATTCCCTGCATGGGGTTACCAGGGACATTTTTTTCTTACAACACTGGTTACTGTCTGGGGCAAAAATTCACTGTGTCACTCAGTATACCCTGCCATATCTGTTTCCTAGTTCCACGTCCCAGGTGTTTTTTCTGTATAACCTGCCTATAATGCAACACCTCAGGGACCAAGGGGTTTCCACACCCACTGATGCCAGTAAGGACACCATTCACCATGTACCCCAGGTAACACGTCCATGCTCGCCACTGGGAGAGGACGTGGCATCCATGGATCAGTTGAACTCGGAGGAGTTTCACTCGCTTCTGGATGCAACCATGACCAAATCAGTCACCCAAGCTATAGTCACGGCTATGGGGGCGATGTCTGAAACCCTGACACAGTCCATTAGTAACGCCATACTGGCGTCTAACACCAACCCTAGCGGCCTCCGCCCCAAAGCCCAAACTGACAAGCCTGCGCCCCTCAGCGGCTGTAAGGCTACGGAGAAGACCCACCATACGGGCAAACACACCTTCAAAAACAGCACGACGGACAGGACACGCCCTGTCACTACTGAGGACGTGGGGCCCCCACGCAAAAGCGGGCAAAAATGGTGAGGACGTGGAAATGGGCAAAAGCCCAAACAGAGACATCCGACTCTGGTTCGGACATAGAGGAGGTAATGAGTGAGTCCGAAGATATCGGCTCTTTGGAATCGGGAAACTCTTCCCCTGAGCCCAGCCGGGCTGTCACACCAACTAAGGGAAAAGCGCTCACGGATGACTCCATCATCCTAGACCCCCAGGGCGAGCCCCTATTTAACCCAGACGACCTACAACACCCTAGGTCTACAGACTGGTTCCCAGCGGACCATGTGGCCCATTATATAGCGGCCAGGATCAGGAAGCCCCTGGATAAAACAACCAGGAATAAGTTATGGGCAGAGTGCCCACGCCCAACGGTCCCCGATATGGCTTGCGCCACACCAGAGGTGGACCCCAAGATTGCCCAGTTCCTGGGTAAGGCTGGCTGGAAAGCCAAAAAAGGGCTAGACTACTCCCTTCGCCACTGCCAGGATAAGGTGCTGGACTCCTTGGGCCTCAGCGCAAAAATCTTCGACTTGGTCGAGGCGACAATCTCAGGTGGTGCACCGCTGGATCCCTTAGTGATCCGGGAGTGGGCGCAACGCTCTATCTGCCTCATCGGCAACTCCAATGCCGCACTTACTACTGAGAGGCGGAAGGCAATTCTCATGAAGATAGACCCTAAACTGGTCAACATGGCCATAACCGAGCCTGGACCCCAGGCAAAAGGCCTCCTTTTCGGAGACAATTTTGTAAAAGAACTGGGCAACTACGTGAGCACATTTACAGCCCTGGATAAGGCACAGACAAACCTGAAACGGGTGTTCTCCCCGAAGGTTTTTGGAGGGGCTGGCAGGTACAGGGGCTGCCTGTCCAGCCGCCCATCGCGGAGCTCCCACTGGGGCTACCGAGGCCTCACGACACCACGGTTCCCTCAGACGGAGACCAGAACCCCCACAGCTTTCTTCCCGGTCAGGGGCAGATCGTGGCAGCCCAGAGGTCACAGGGGTTCCACATACGGCCGACGACCTTATGGTAAGTGCTTTCCCCTTCTCCCTCTCTCGTACCTCACACGTGGGGGGCAGACTTTTCAAATTTATCAGGGCATGGCACAGACTCACGTCCGATGCCTGGATTCTCAACACGGTAGCAGGGTACCATATAGAATTCGTCAAAGACCCAACCCAATCCGTAATGCCACGGCAGATAGTGTTCTCCCCTCAGGACAGAGAATTTGTGTCGAAGGAAATCAGGGCACTGGCGGAGAAGGGAGCGATCTATCAGGTCGCACCTCACTCCCCAGGCTTCATGAGCAATCTGTTCCTGGTGGGGTAAGACCTGTGGGGTAAGACCTGTGATCAACCTACGCCCACTCAATGCGTTTGTAAGATATCATCACTTCAAAATGGAAGGGATTCATTGCCTATGAGATCTTCTCAGGCTGGGGGATTGGATGGTCAAACTAGACCTCCAAGATGCATATCTCACCATCCCCATTGCAAAGGAGTGTCAGCATCTCCTGCAATTCAGTTGGGACTCTCAGACATGGAGGTTCCAGTGCCTACCGTTTGGCCTATCATCAGCACCATGGTGCTTTACAAAACTGCTGAAACCAGTGGTTGCGCTGCTACGCAGCAGAGGGGTTCGCATGATCATATATCTGGACAATATGCTGATCATGGCCCAAGACACCCTACTACTACAACAACACTTAGATTGGGCAATAACACTACTACAAAACCTGGGATTTCTAATCAATTGGGAGAAGTCGGTACTAATCCCCTCCCAGTCCTTAGAATTCCTAGGATTCGAGATAGGGGCGGTCTTAGGGACCCTAAGCTTACCACCCACAAAGATGAAAATCATCAAGAAGGAGATCCGCAGAACATTGGCTCGCCCGATACTCACAGTCAGACAACTAGCCAGAATAATTGGACTCCTTTCCGCTTCCATACAAGCGATCTTCCCGGGACCCTTGCACTACAGGCAGGGCCGCCATCAGAAATTTTGGGGCCCCTGACAAAGCACAAGGTTTGGGCCCCCCCTCACTCCCGGGCCCGCCCACGCCCTACCTGGTCCGCTGACAATGATGCAGGACTGAATGTGGTGTGTATAGTGGAAGTGAATTAGAATATGTGTAATGGATGTAGTGTTTGTGTGTATTAGATACTGTTTGTACAGTGAATGCAGAGTGTGTGTTTGTGTAGCGGATGCAGTGTGTATAGCGAACGCAGAGTGTGTTTGAGTAGTGGATATACTGTATGTACAGTGATGTAGTGTGTGTTTGTGTAGTGGATGTAGTGTTTGTATGTACTAGATGAAATGTGTTTAGTGGGTGCAGTGTCTGTAGTGGATGTAGTGCATGTATTAGACGCAGTGTCTGTGTATAGTGAATGCAGAGTGTTTCAATGTGTGGTGGATGTAGTGTGTGTACTGTGAATACAGGATGTTTGTGTAGTGGATGCTGTGTGTACAGTTAATGCAGAGTGTATGTTAGTGTAGTGAATGCAGAGTGTGTGTCAGTATAGTGAATCCAGAGTGTATGCATAGTTTAGTGAATGCAGAGTGTGTTAGTGTGTAGTGAATGCAGAGTGTGTCAGTGTAATGAATGTAGTGTGTATGTTAGTGCAGTGAATGCAGAGTGTGTGTAAATTTGTAGTGAATGCAGAGTGTGTGTTAATGTGTAGTGAATGCAGAGTGTGTGTTAGTGTAGTGAATGCAGTGTGTGTTAGTGTGTAGCAGAGTGTGTGTTAGTGCAGAGAGTGTGTTAGTGTGTAGCGGATGCAGAGTGTGTGTTAGTGTAGTGAATGCGGAGATTGTGTTAGTGTGTGTGCAGAGTGTGTGTGTTAATGTGTAGTAAATGCAGAGAGTGGGTTAGTGTGTAGCGGATGCAGAGTGTGTGTCAGTATAGTGAATGCAGAGTATGTCAGTGTAATGAATGTAGTGTGTGTGTTAGTGG